TCTGCAGGAAGCCTGCTTCTCTCTCCCCCAATCCCCCTGCTTGTGCTCCCTCTCTTGCTGTGTCTCTGGGTCAAATAAATAAAATCTTAAATAAATAAATAAATAAATAAATAAATAAATAAATAAATATCTCTCGGCTGCTCGGAAGACGCAACTGCATAGCCATCAGATAAGCTTCCTTATGCCATAGGTCACTCCTTGCCAGCTAGGCGGTGACAATTTTCTATTGATCCCTGTATTCATCCGTGAATGACAAGGAATTTACAAGGTGAAAGAGTCTCCAAGAGCTCCAAGGCCGGTTTCCTCTGAAGCACTGACCTATTTTTAATTAATGAAAAAAATGCCACAGTTAGGCCCCCGGAGCACAGAAAGTGGCTCCATAATTCTCAAAAAGGAGGGAAAGCAGGCCGATGGGAGGGGCGTGGAGTCCACTTCCTTTTCTTGGGCAGGTGAAGGAGGCTGACAAGCTGACAATGTTAATTAACTGAGAGAAGCAGCAGAAGCCAGCTAATTGATGACAGAAGCCCCTCTGCTTCCTACCTTCCAGCTTGCCCCGTGGCTCTGTGGCCTCTCTCCCCCTGGGGGGCCAGGGCCAGGGCGGAGCCCCGGGGAGCCTGCGCGCTCCTGCTCCTATTGGTTGGGCTGTGCCTACTGGTTGAGTTGTGCTTGTTTCTAATCCTGTGTGCCGGTTGTACCTGAAATTCTAACGACAGATGCGATGGAAAGCCATGAAACATTCGCAAGGAAGAGACTCCCTGCTCCATATACACCAAGTTGAAAAATCTTTAAAAAAGAGAAGAAAGGACACCGAGGATTGTTTTTGCCAGTGCTGTTTGCATTTCCGGTCCACTTTCAAGAAACCCACAGTGGAAATTGCAGGTGATGCATCGCATCACTGCTGAGGTTTATGCAAGATGCGCCCTGCAAAAAGGAACTGGGTTTTTCAATATATATATATATACACATATATATATATATGTAATTTATTTATTTGACAGAGAGAGACAGTGAGACAGGGAACACAAGCAGGGGGAGTAGGAGAAGGAGCCTGATGCCTGGGGATCACGCTGGGATCATGACGTGAGCCAAAGGCAGACGTTTAACGACTGAGCCACCCAGGCGCCCCAGGAACTGGGTTTGAGAGAGACCTGTATCCTAGAACAAAGCTGCACCGTCTGGTCGTGTCTTCTTGCGAATTTCTTTCACGGCAGACAGCATACTGGCTTTTCCAGTGCTGCACGAGATCGCTCAGAGCGCTGGCCCTTTTTTTTTTTTTTTTTTTTTTGGCCTTTTTAAGCCTCTTTGGTGGCAGCTACTGGCTTGGAAAGGAAGCAGCTGGAGTTAGGGGAGAGTGATCCTGTCCAGGGAACTCCGCGGGAGGGGAGCCCACTTTGTAGTAAAAACAGAAAGCACCCCAGCAGGACAGACTGCAGACAGGAAGGAGAGAATTACGCAGGTATTAGGGCCAGAACAGCGAGTACAAAAGAGCAACTTCACAGCGGAGGAAGCTGGCTCACTGATTTCCCCAGCTCCTGTCTGGCCCCCGTGCAATTTCTGCACCGTCTGTAAACCAGGGCCAACAGCAGCTGATTGTTTCCAGAGTCCGCGGAAAGGCTTGTGGGCGAGCAGTAACCAGAGAAAGCAGGGTGTTCTTACAATCCGAGGAAGCGCCTGCTGAAACTGGCCCCTTAGCCCTGTTGCGGACTTCCTCTGCAGCAAAGCCCCAAGCAAATGACTCTGCCTTCATGGGCCCAGCTGTAAAATGGGGGCACTGTGCGGGGCAGCCCAGGGGGACCAGCCACAGGGTGAAAGCTTTAATTAATGACCAAACACTCTGAACAAGGATGCACCGCCGAAATGCACGGAACCACGTGGGCCACTTACGCACCCAGGGAAGGCTCAGAGAAGCCGTCTCCCCGCGGACCTCCGTGAGAAGTCAGCAATTTTTCATGGAAGATTTGGGTTACAAAGAAACTGCCTGCCTTCGGGCCGTCACGCTTCAATACAGAAACCAGGGTGGGATGTCCAGACCCGGCAGGGAGTTCCAAAGCAAAACCAACTCCCAGCTGCAAAACAAATAGCCGCTTCAGGCACAGGATAAACACACAGGTACCCAGACTTCAAGGACTCCCTAGCGGACCGAGGCAGCAAAACGAAAACACCTTCTTAATGAAACCCTTGATTATCCTTTCTCAGAGACTTTGGTCGTCGAAAATCCTCCATCTAAATACAAACAAGATTCTTCCTTTATTAAACCTTTCTTGTCTGGAATTATCTCCCACTAATTCATTGCTGGCTTCTGCTTCTTGATAAGGAAAGCCAGGCATATTCTTTTTAAAAGGTCTTAGAGATACTTGTGATTGCCAAAAAGAGTGATAACACCTCCCCTCCAAAAAAAAAAAACCCATTTTTTCAAGCCTCTACTATGTATTTTCTTAAACCTCTAATTCACTTTTTTAAATGCATTATTTTATTTAAATCCTTACAACCTCATGAGATAGTTTTTATTGTCTTCATTTGGGGAGTGCAGGTGGGGGGGGTGTTTAGCAGATGAGTGAATGCAGCCTGCAGTTGGCCTAACTAGGATCTGAGCCTCAAGCTCCCTTTGCCACACCAAACTGCCTTCGGATAGCCCTGAGCCAAGTACCGTGGGTCCCAACATCTATGGCCTCGCTCTTAAATAGGCGGATGTTATTTTTAAAAATTTGAGTCACCTCTGTAAAGTAATAAACACAATTCACCCTGGTGTAAGGTTATAGACATATGCACACAGAGATGTAACTACCACCGCAATCAAGATGCGGAATCGCTCTATCACACGCACCCCCAAATTCCTTCATGTTGCTCTTTGTGAACAATCTCTCCCCTTCACCCCAGTTCTTGGCAACAACTGATCTGTTTTCTGCTCCCATAATTTTGCCCTTTCTAGATGGTATCTGCCATCTTAACATTTCTGCCACTGATGAATTCAAAGGGTGACCACCCTTCTTTGTGAATAGAAACCCAGAAAAGCAATGCAGGAACAGTAAGTGGGCTGACGCCCGGCACAGGACAGGAAGACAGCACAGAGAGCTAGCAAAAGCTTCAAAGCACCCTCTGGCTCCCCCACCCTGAAGGAAGCAGCAACAAATTGTGGGAAATCCTCAGCATTTGAGTAGGTGGTGAGGCCTTGGGAGTTGGGGGCGGGGAGGTCCCGGAGCTCAGAGAAGCAGTCACTGTGGCTCTTCCACTCTCCAGGGTTACAGTCTGGGCCTCCTCCTTCACCAGAAACTTCAAGTATCTTTCTATGATAAGGTTCTACGCTATTCATCCTGGACTTTGCATTTCCTACTTCATAGCTCTGTTTTCCTAAAGTCAGACTGGCAGGTACTCATCATCTTATGGAAGAAGAATAATCCTCCTATATGTGGGAATGTCATCCTCCAGAGAGCCTGGAGGGACACATGGGCACAGAAGGGAGGAAGGGACGGAGAGAGACTCCTCTAACAGGTGGAATTTGCTGAATCAGTCCTGACCTCCAGAGGAGTCCCATGTCCCAGCAGACCCCATCACATACCTGACTTGGCTCCTGCCTGTCCCGGGACTGAGCTCCTGGGAGCCCACTGTGGACAGCCAACCCTACCCTCAAAGCCTCACACCCAGGGCCCACAGTATCTTCAGCCCAGAGCTATGACCCCCTTGCTTAAGTGGCACTTCCCTCCCCACCAGAATCTTCTTTCCTGCCAGCCAACTGCAACAGGTGGCGAGTTTTCAACTCCACCTACAGGGCCGGTGACCACCTGCAGCACCTCGGCTAACAAAGGAGTTGAGATCATCTATAGCTCAATTTAGAGCCTAGTTTATGAGGCCAGCAGGATTCCAGAGAGTGACAACAGCCTTCTTTCTCATAAGGTTATTCAATTCAAATATGGGATCAAGTATCAATTTTCCAAATAGTCCAGAAGGCAGTGACTGTAGCCCATGTTGTCGGTGAGTGTCTGGTCCTACAGATAGGATGGGCAGGCCTGCCTGGGGGCGGAGTGGGGGGGGCCACTTTGTGGCAAAGGCCCAGGGAGGGGGCACATCTAATGTCAAACGTGAGCCGTGAACATGAAGTGACATGTTCCTCCAGCCTCAGCAGGATTTTGTGGCCTTTTAATTCAGAACACCTGAGTACCTGGTCAGAAAAAGAGCTCCAAAGCCTCCTGGTGTGGTACTAAAATTGGGGGGAAAAAAAAGTTGCCTAGAGAACTTTCATTGAAAGTTGTCTTATTAGGTTTGGAGGGGAAAGTGAGGGAGACTGGGGAGAGATGGACCAGGGAGAGAAGCGGAGGGGAGAAGGGAGAAAGACAGGAGTCGGGGTGGGAGGGGGAGACGGGAACTCTTCTCTGTTAATCTAGGCCAGCCTTGGAGTACAGTGTTAAATAAATCCACATCTTAATTATATGTATGATAAATATATAATTAAATGATAAATATCTCATAAGCCAAGTATCAGGTTTTTTTTTAAAAAAAACGAAAAGAATGTATTACAAATATCCATTATGACCTTGTTTGGGTCAAAACAAAGTGATATACACATATAGTTGAATGTTTGATTCTAATAAATAATATATAGATAGATATTCTAATAAATGATGATATATAGATTCTAAATATATAATTAACTATTACATGTGACACATATAATAGTATATGCAATAATGATATGTTATATATAACATATATGGTATATGGTATATATATTAATTACATATCAGATTTATATTCTAACTCTAGCCATTAACTTAGAACATAGAACTAAATATGCCAAAAATGATTCTTTTTGCTCTTCTATATTGTAAACTTCCACAAAAATTCTACATTATTTTGTAATCATATTCCAGGGTTATTAAAACTTTTAAGTTTTTATGGTTCGATGGGTCACCCTCTCAATATTTACTGTTCCCATCTGGATGGAGTGTGGCCCCAAAGTACCCCTCTGAGTAGGGCCCCTGCTGAGGCTATAGGGATGGACAGACCTCTTTCTGCTCGCGGCCAGCAAAGTACGGAGATGGGCTCAGGTGAGCCTTCCAGTCCTCGAAGGCCTGCAAAGGGGTCTTCTTCTCAACTTCAGAGTGGAGCTTGGGGGAGATGGCAGGAGTGGTTGGACAGATGGCTCCTATGAAGTCATCTGTCTGCCTCTCATCTTCTGCAAACAGTGTGCCCCTGGACTCCTGGAGCTGTAGGCTTTGGACAAGCAACCGACAAGCTTCCAAGTCAGCTCCCCACACTTTTCCAAGCAGTGGACACTTGCAACTGAAACAGAGGGGAAACAAAGGCAGGAAGATTTGTTCAGTGATGATTCATCCTACCAAGTCAATAGCTTGTCTACCTGGCTAAAAGTTAGCTAATCATCTTACAATTAACAACTTAATTTCATTTACTGGTGGATTGCTTCAACCAGAAGGTAAAGAGGGGCCAAATCTGTATATCATCAAGTAACAGTGAAATAACCACCGGTCCTTCTTAGCTGCTGGTTCTGCAAGGACATCCAAGATCTGGTGTATTTTTCCAGACTCAGTAGTCCAGTACAACACAGACCTTGCTCCTGCCCTGCTGGCTTCCTTTGAGCCCCCAGACTTGTCCACCTCTCCCAGCTAAATGCTTTTTCATGTGCTATTTCATATGCCTAGACTGTCCCTCCCCCGCCATGCCCATTCACACAGGTAATGTAACTGAGTGAAGTAGTGCACGGGTAATATAAACCATAGCAAAAGATAAGCAGCTTCAGTGGCAGAAAGCAATAGAGCGGAAGGGACTCTGGCTAGTAGGAAGAAGCCCTTCATCACCTCAGGCCAACTAAAGTTTTGATTTTTCATGAAAAGGCAAAAATCTGGGATTTTATAGGAAAATATACATTTTTCACCACTCCACTCAGGTTCAGGCTGGATATTTTCTAGACTTCTATCTTCCTTTTAATAACCCTTCCTTCTACTATGTCTAATCTGCTCTCCAATTTATCTATTGTGTTCTCAAGCTTAATTACTTTACTTTTCAGTTCTATAATTTTTATTTCATTTCTTTTCTACATTTCAGTTCTCTGCTGAAATAAATTATCCATTATGCCCTCTAGCTACTTAAACATATTAATCATCATTAAAGCCTGTGTTTATAAATGATGAACTCAGAAGGAAAAAGAATGAGGCAGAAGCAACATTATTGAGATAGGAGCTAAGGATGTTAAAATATTGACAAGGGACATCAAACTACACATTCAGAAAACACTACAATCTTAAAACAGGAAAAAATCAAAGGAAAAAACAGAAATGCACCTGGGTTCATCATAGTGAAACTGCTGAACACCAAAGATGGAATAAAATTCTTAAAAGCAGCCAGATTAAGAAAAAGGCATTAACTTCAGAGGAACAATAATATGGGTGACAGAAATGGCAGAAGCCAAGAGACAATAAAACAGCATCTTCAAAATGCTGTAAGAAAATAACTGTCAATCTATAAATTATACAGTCATTTTCAATTTCCTTCAAAAATAAAAGTAAAATAAAGATATTTGCAGATCAGTAAGAACTGAAAGACTTCCTTGGCAACATATCCAGAAAAAAGGAAAATGATCCCAGCTGAAAACAAGGACATGCATAAAGAAATGAAAAACAATGGGAAGAGTAAATATGTGGATAAATCTAAATAAATGTGGATGTAAAAAACAGCAGTAATTTCTTTTGTAGTCTAAAATATAGTCAAAATAAAATACATGACAACCAGCACAGAGGGAAGGAGGGTCCTTGTGTTGTCCAGAAAGCAAAAGAGTGCTCATTTATATCAGACTTTAAAAAGTCAAAGATTCATATGCAATACTCTATGGTATCTGTAAAACAAAGAGGTTAAAAGAACATATAACTGACAAGCTACTATGAGGGAACATTTTAAAAATTAAACATACTTAATTGTTTAAGTATTGCTTTAAGGAAAGCAATAAAGGAGACAGGGATGAACATGGTACAGATGGGGAAAATGGGAAAAGTAGAAACATTTATGCCCAAATATATTAAGATTTACATTAAATATAAGTAGTTAAATATTGTATTTAAAAGGCAAAGATTTTAGACTAGAATAAAAAAATCAAAATCTAATTATATGTTGCCTACAAAAGGCATATATTAAACATAAGGATACAAACAGATCACAAGTAAAAGTGTAAGAATGATATATTATGAAAACATTATTAAAGACAATAACTGTCTTTAGTGGTAAAAGCAGTCTTTTCAACATATTGTATTTATGTCAATTGAATATGACTATAGGAAAAAAAATCAAATCCCGATTATTGGCTCACATGATACAAACATCAATTTCATGTAGATTGTAGATCAAAATGTGAGAGTTAAAACATTAAAACTTCTAGAAGATAATGTAGGATAATATCTTTATTTTTTTATTTTATTTTATTTATTTATTTGACAGAGAGAGACACAGAGAGAGAAGGAACACAAGCAGGGGGAGTGGGAGAAGGAGAAGCAGACTTTCCGTGGAGCAGAGAGCCCATGCGGGGCTCGATCCCAGGACCCTGAGATCATGACCTGAGCCGAAGGCAGACACTAAACGACTGAGCCACCCAGGCGCCCAGATAATATCTTTACGACTTCATAGTAAGCAAAGATCTTTTAAACGAGATATAAAAAGGACAAGCCATAAAGAAAGCAAATGATAAGTTTGACTTATGTTATATCATGAACTTATATATTTGTCAAAAAACACCATTGAGAGAATGAAATTATAAGCCACAGAGTGGGAGAAATTATCTGTAATACACTTAACCAACAAAGGACTGATTTGAGAATATAACAGGACTCCTACCAGTCAATAAGAAAGAGACAGACAACTCACTTTTTGTCAATTTTCTTCTCCACATTCTTTTCGGCCTGTTTCTGTAGCCTCAATTTTATTGGGCTCAGACCAGAAGTCCATGGGTCTTGAGGACCTCTGTGTATTTAGACAATCACTTTTTGAAAAGGGCAAAGACCTGAAGAGGCACTTCACAAAAGAGGGCATCTCAGTGGCCAATATGAAAGGATGCTCAACACCATTAATCATCAGGAAAATGCATATTAAACCACAGTGTGATGTACTACACATCAACAAGACAGCTAACATTTGGAAGTCTGACAATACCAAGTGTCAGAAAAGATACCGAGCTATTACTATTCTCATACACTGATGGTGGGATTGAACATGAATGCAAGGTCTTTGAACTCTCTTTGATGGATGTACTAATATTGAACATATGTCAATCATTAAGACCTAGCAATGTGACTCTTAGGTACATACACAATGAAATGCATATACTGTCAATTCTCATATTCATAGTGGTTATGTTCTATAAAGTCACCATGAGCACTGAACCAGCCAGTACTGAACTCCCCTGCTCCCCAGGGAAACCTAGGGTTAAGTTCCTGCCAGCCTCAGGTCACAATATTTTCATCAAGCAATCGGTATATAACTTTGTTATGTACGTTTGTTTGAAGACACCTTATTTAGAGTATATTGTTGATTCACTAATGCTGAACTCATGTCCAACAGCACTATAACTCATGCCTGACAATACATTATTTTCTACATCACAGCCTTCTTGCCCATGGAAGAACGAGACATCTCACCATCACTAAGCTTGGGCATCATTTTAAGTAGTGAAATCAACAAGAAAAAGTACAAAAATCTAAAAAACATGACACTAAGTGGACCATGAAAATGACACCTGTTTGTAATATGAAAACTGGAACAAGGCAGAGCATTGCCTTGCTTGACCTCTGCTGAGATCATGCACATCAAATGACTCAAATTTTTCACCACTGCATGTGTCTGAATGACAGTGAAAGCTCTGTAGGTATTGATTTCAGGGTTCCAAATAAACTTTAGTGAGCAGGCAAATTCACAGAATTCATGAATAATGAAGATCAACTGTATATATGATCGTACAGCATTATTTGTAACGGCCAAAACCCAGAAGGGAAACAAACATCCATGAAGAGAAGAATGGATAAATTGTGTAGCATGCATTTATGGGAATATTGTACTGCAAAGAAGAAGGTGAATAATTTACTACCATCTGCAAAAGTACGATAATCTCATAAACATAAGGCTGGGCGAAGAGGAGGCACTACGAATCCATCTATTTTGTATTTGAAAATATGCAAAACTAACCCATGGTGTTAGAAATCAGGACAGTGGCTACTTTGCGGAGAAGGGGGGATGATGACAGGGAGAGGCACAAGGAAGGCTGCTAGTGTCGTGGAAGTGGTTTATTTCTCAATGGTGGTGATTTATGTAAGAGTGTTCATTTCGTGAAAGTTCAAGCATACATTCATGATGTGTGTGCTTTCTGGTTAGTGTTATATGACTATCTAAAATAATAAAAGAGAAGACAGATTTTCTGAGCCATGTTCTGGAGCAAGAGAGCTGGACTGGAGTCTTGTCCACACCAGAAGCGATAGTCCTTAGTGAAGCATGTTAGACTCATTTTCCAGCTTCCTCACTGTAGCCAGTCTGACAGGTGTAAAGTGGCATCTTATTTAAAGTTGCAACTTTCCACTAGGATCGGGTCATAGCCACTCAGATGGTTTCCTGTGAATTGTCCTTTCATATCCCTTTCTATTTCTTGAGTCCCTCATGCTTTTTTCTAAGGCTTTTATTGAAGGACATATTTTTATTACCACTTCAATATCTTTATTTTTACACTCTACTTAAATTTTTTATTTCTTCGTGGGTCCAATTTAACCCATTATCTCCTTAATAGACATCAACCCACTTTCTAATGGATTTCCTATGCATTATAATGTCTGTTCCTAATTTTTAAAATGATTTTTAAAGCAACTTGTGTTTGTGTGTAAAGGCAATTCTCCTTTTCATTGTATTTTATGTATTTACTCTTCATTGTGTTTTATGTATTTACTCTTCTTGATTTATCTTGTTCAGTCTTATCAGAGGTTTGCTATCTTATTAATCTTCTCAAAGAACTGCTTTTGCTTTGTTAATCTTCCAATATTGATTTTTGATCTCTATTTCCTTGATTTCTGATCTTATCTATTTCCTTTTTCTCATTTCTTTGGATTTATTATCTTTTTTTTAAAGATTATATTTATTTATTTGACAGAAAGATACAGCAAGAGAGGGAGCACAAGCAGGGGGAGTGGGAGAGGGAGAAGCAGGCTTCCCACGGAGCAGGGAGCCCGATGCGGGGCTTGGTCCCAGGACTCTGGGAACATGACCTGAGCCGAAGGCAGACGCCCAATGATTGAGCCACC